TTATTGTTTTTAAATTTTTTAATGTTTATTTATTTTTGACAGAAAGAGAGAGAGAGAGCATGAGAGGTGGAGGGGCAGAGAGAGAAGGAGACACAGAATCTGAAGCAGGCTCCAGGCTCTGAGCTGTCAGCACAGAGCCCGACGCGGGGCTCAAACTCACGGACTGTGAGATCATGACCCAAGCCGAAGTAGGACGCTCAACCGACTGAGCCACCCAGGCGTCCCAAAAGTAAATTCTTTAAAAAATAATAGGGGCACCTGGGTGGCTCAGTCAGTTAAGCCTCTGACTTTGGCTCAGGTCATGATCTTGCACTCTGTGAGTTCGAGCCCCACATCGGGTTCTGTGCTGACAGCTCAGAGCCTGGAGCCTGCTTCAGATTCTGTGTCTCCCTCTCTCTCTGCCCCTCCCCTGCTCATGCTCTGTCTCTCTCTGTCTCAAAAGTAAATAAAAAACATTAAAAAAAAGTTTAAAAAAAAAAGTATTTATTTTTAAGTAATCTCTACACTCATGTGGGGCTCAAACTTAGCCCTGAGATCAAGGTCACATGCTCTTCCTACTGAGCCTGCCAAGCACCCCAAAAGAACCAACTTGTGGTGGGGGTGATTTTCTCTACTATAAGTATTTTTTAATAATGTGATTTCTGACAGCAGAACAACAGTCACTGCATGGGTATATTATTGAATTATTTTCCTGGTGTTGGTCACTTGGGATATTTCCAATTTTATTTGTTTTTATATATGTAATATGTAATATATATTTCCTAGAGGGGGAATTATCTGTCATTTTAAAGATTATTTCCACTTTAAAAAACATTCTTATTTACTTATTTATTTAAGTAAGCTCTGTGTCCAGTGTAGGGCTTGAACTCAAGACCCCGAGATCGAGGCTCACACACTCTACCTACTGAACCAGCCAGGAGCCCCAAGGTTGTTCCGTTTTTAGCCATCTTCATGCTCATTGTCAAATTGTCCTCCTCAAAAGTTATATGAGTTTACTTGACCATCACCAGTGGATAGAAGTCCTGAAGAGCCAGTATGGGTCTTAGCACTGCACATTTCATTGACAAATTAACCTCCAAAAGGGTACTGTGCTGTTCATTTGAGCATTCACTGTGCACGGCCCCACGGTAGGGCCATGACTGCTTTCGTCAGCACATGTGTAGCCATTGGCTCAAAACATCACTCATTGTGATGCTGGCGATGTGGCCTCCTTAGTGTTCCAAAAGATTGTTTGGTATGACGGCCTCAGTTCAGGGTTTTTCTCTCACCTTTCCTATCATGTTTGGAGTCAGAATTCAAACACTGTACATTTTGAGCTACAGTATGCCTGGCCTATAACTTGGTTCAAGGCATTTATATTTATGTCATTTTTGTCTGCTTATTATACTAACAAGGTGGAAAAAGCTATCCCAGTCCCTCCCACAAGGTAAAATTCTGGGGTTTTTTTTTGTGTGTGTGTGTGTATCTATTACTAGAGTTTTAAAAATAGGTTAGATAAATAACAGTACCTTTAGGATTAAGTACACACAGAGTTTTATGAGATAGTTCATAAAGAATATATTTAAATCCAAACTTAATATAAAATTTTATTTCTTGAGAACTGTGGTGGGAGATAGTGCAAAAGTAGACTATTAACTTTTTTCTTAAGATAACCTGTTATTTATACACAAAAAAGGTATATTAATCCTATTTAAATTACATATTTTTTCAACAAAAGGGATGAAAAGGCCATCTTTTCTTGTGTCTGTTAACCTTTGAGTCAAAATGGTTGGAATTTTGACTCCTCTCAGTTGAAGCTGCCATCTACCATGTCCTTTTCTCAATGACTTTTTATTTAATTTGAAGGGAGGCTTAAAACAGTTCCATTAATGAAAACATTAAAAGATTAAAAACGTGAAATGTTTCAGAGGACAATAATTTTGTTTTTTTATGTGTCTATTGATACAAATTCGAACACTTGGTAGGCTATCAATATCAAGAAAGTCATTTTAAATCGAATAATCTTACCCCAGAGAAGATTATACTCCCTTAGAAAAAAGGATTTTTTACTCATTCTCGTGCTTTTCCTGTAGTTCAATATCACTTGGTAATTTGATTCTGAATTTATGGAAATGGAATATTCCATGAATATTTTCCAAAGTGAATAAAATGTCTAAAATTGTCCTCATTTCAAGCTCTCCCTGACATTTTGGCTGAATAACTGAGCACAGATACTTTTTTTTGCCGTGTCTTCTTATGAACGTTGCCCGAGTGATAGCTTCATATTTCTCTCATCTCATCATTCAGAAGCTATTTATCCATGTTTTTCCACTGCCTCCTTTAAGTCTCCTCCCTGCCCCCCCATCACTGAATGCCTGTTCAGCCCCCACACATTCAGGCGTATTTATTCCCGTAAAGATAGTGACACTTATGGTTTATTCTAAGACTAAATCTGTGTTGCCCAGTGACTAAGGACTTAAGCATGCACACTGCTTCTACGCTTACCCTCCTACCTAACTTGACGACTCAACTTTATTTTTTTCCCTCAGAATTTTCTGTTTTGGCACAGTTCAGTTAACATACCACTGCCAGGCCACTAATTGATTTCTGAAACCTGACATTTGTTTTTTGTTTTCTCCTATCTTCCCTAATGGTACAGCACTACTAAGCAGGAAGGAATGCAAAGAACTAGAAAGTTCAAAGTAATTGAGGATCTGTCCATTCACCCTGTCTGGCGTCATGCCAATGTAGAACCTGGAACATTTGAAAAATATTTATCAAGTTTTAACCCTTTTTACTAAGGTTGATGAACCAGGTTTTCAGCGGTAGCATTTGTGTTAACAGCAAGGCAGCTTGGTTGAACATATTCCTTATAGGTTCAGAATTGCATGGCAAATGTCTCAGAAAAGGATTACTTTCTGATTTCTGTGCTATTGTACAGGGCTAAGCTAGTCATTTTCTGTGAGACTGCCGAGCCAGGCATTTGAGAGAAACCATTACTTAAAAGTGGCAGCCCTATGTTATGAATCCTTATGTCAGAAATGAAATTTAAATAAACGCTACTAGAGTTGAACAAAAAAAGATTGTATTCCACTTTTCTACCAAAAGTGTGTTGTGAACACAACAGTAGCTAGGTTTGTATCTGTATTCATTACGAAAAGTGGAAATGTGAAAAAAATTAACAGGACTTCACAAATATTTTATTAAAAGCTCACCAAATGGCTGGGTTTTGTTTTGTTTTGCTATTGAGAAGGCATTTGTAAATGAAAGCATGTTAAAAAATGGTGTGAGATATACCAACATTTCCAGTAAAATAACTGGATTTTATGGCAGTGAAAACGTAGGTTGAGGTAACAGGCCACTGATGCTCTGATAAAAAAGACAAAAGAAAATGTTTAGAGAGGCTTAGAGGCAAATTAAAATATAAATAGATACCAAATCGTATTGAGCCTAAGTTAAAAAGAGTATGAAAGTTCTCTTAAGGCTTTATCACACTCAGTTTTGATCATGTTATCAGCATTATAACTAAACACCTTTCAATTTTCAATTTTTCAAAAAAGTAATATTAAATCCCGTACCAATTCTGTAATGTTTCTAAGTTATTTAATTACATATCTGGGCTCAATATTAGAGAAAATCAGGACAGCTTTGAAAAGGTGAAGGTGTATACTATGGGACTGTTTGCTTAGAAAAAACTTGCAAAAACACTTATTAAATACTACTTTGGTGACACGAAAGTAGTCGTCAACCATTCTCTGGAAGAAGTGATCACAGCCATAAAAATGAATCATTTATTAGCAAGAAGGAAATGAAAAGGAGAAAAAATATTTTACAGTGTGATTTTGCTTTCTAATAATAAATTCCTCTAATATTTCATGTGTATATTATGTTTTTAATCTACACATTGAAATGAGATCCACACTTCTAGTAGGTACACTCTTTGAACATTTTTCTAAAAACTGATTTTTGTTTGTTTGTTTGTTTGTTTTAAACTGTTATCCCATGAAGTGTGAGTAGGCTATTGTATATGTAAAATTATCTCATGGCATAGTGTGCTGTCAACATATATACATATGTAGTGAAATACCAGGCATTTTTATTGCAGTTTATTGTTCCGGCTTCTCAATAAGTCAGATAAAATCACATACAAGACATTAAGGATTAGGAAAGTGTTTTCCTTAGGTGATTGTTGGCAAAACTTCACCTTCCCATTAGAATATAGTTAATGGATGGTAATATATTTGACTATTACTTTCCTACAAAATTGGATTCCCAGTTTTCAGAGCTGCTGCGTGTCTAATGTTTGTGGCTTCTTTGGTTATCTCTTCGTAGGAAAAGGTGCCACAGTGCTAGGTAAATGTGCTACGTTTTTGTTTGGTAAATATTAAACTGCATTTTTTTGAACATAAAGTGCTAGCAACAACAAGTCAAAGATGTAATCACTATTTAAATACATTTGATCTAGTCAGTCGTTAGTGCTTAAATTAGATTCCATGCTTCTGCTGGAATATTTACAAAAGCGTAAATATTAAAAACTTCAAAATTCCTATGGCCCATCCCCCTCCTCTCCATACACAGATACGAGGTAAAATGTGTATAAACTTCTTCTAACCGTTTAAATACTGTAGGGAAAAACAAGCTTTTATGCAAAGGCTTAAAAAAAAAAATACTTGCCATTACACCTTTTATTTAGGACATTCCGGATTTGCTTTGCTAAATGGACATATTCACTACTAAAGATACACAGAGACAAGGGCTGTTTTTAAATGTGTTTATCACACCGCCCCTAGTTTTCCGCTAAAGAAAAGTACATTTTGTATATTTAAAAATACACACTCATGAAATAAGTCTCTAAAACCCTTGGCGCCCCCACCTATCTGCCTTCTGGGTTTCAGCCTTTGAGTTTCAGGTCCTTGCACAACACCTAAGACGTGCAAAACTCTTTTTCTCCCTAATCCTGGCAGAGAACAGTCCGAGGAGATCTCCCTCCACGTCTCCACCCTAATTCCCTCTCTTCCTAGATTCCACTCGCTTCTCTCCTTTCCTCCGCCCCCGGCTCAGTCAGCCCAATCTGTCAGAGAAGTTGTGTACAAACTGCGCGGCCGCCCTGCGCGCGAAAGCTCGTGGCCCGAGAGGGCGGGTCAACCCGGCAAAGGCGGGGCCCTGGGCGAGCTTCCCTTTTCTCATAGGCTAGCCGCTCCGGCCCGGCCGGGCTCGAGGCTTCGGGATTCGCCGCAACGCTGCCAATCAGGCTGGCTGGACCCGCCCCCCCGGAGTTGGGTAAAATAGAGGCGGGCGTCAAGTGTCAGTAGTCGCGGGGCAGGTACGCGCGCTCGCAGCTCGCTCGCGGAGACCGGCGGTGGCGGGAGTGGGCTCCGGCGAGTGAGAAAGCGCGGCGGGGCGGGGCGGGAGAAAGTGGCCGCCTGGAGGACGTTGGCGTTTACGCGTGGCGGAGCGGAAGAGTTTTGCTTTTCGTGCGCGCCTTCGAAAACCGCGCCTGCTGTTGGCTGAGGGGGTCCGCCCGGAGCCTCCCCTTCTCCGCCCGCGGCCCCGCGCCGAGCTCGCCGGCCCGAGTCAGCGTGGGCGAGGTGGGAAGCGCGCCCGACCCGCGTCCCGCGCCCGGAGTCGCCCCCTTGAGTGCCAATGGCCACGCGGGTGCTGACCATGAGCGCCCGCCTGGGACCCGTACCCCAGCCGCCGGCCCCGCAGGACGAGCCTGTGTTCGCGCAGCTCAAGCCCGTGCTGGGCGCCGCGAACCCGGCCCGCGACGCGGCGCTCTTCCCCGGCGAGGAGCTGAAGCACCCGCACCACCACCCGCAGGCGCAGTCCGCGCCCCCGCAGCCGCCGCAGCCGGCGCCGCCGCCCGCCGCGGGCCCGCGGCTGCCCCCCGAGGAGCTGGTCCAGGTAGGGAGAGCCGCTCCCCTCCCTCCGCCCCCCTCCCGGAGCTCGGGCGT